CTCTCACACGAAAAGGGCGCTTATAAGAAACATGTTTCGAACAGCAACCAACGTGTGCACGGGAAGAGAGCAGAGAGAGGAGTCCCGGAACTTGGCATGGCAAATAGCCGTTTCTAATGGCTACGAAACTGTAGCTCGGAATAGGTGTAGGAGAAATCCTAGGCCTCCAAACGACAACTCTAGCGATAGAAGGGTCCTGTTTATCCTACCCTTCATCTCAAATGATATAAGTACAGCTATAAAACGCTGCTTAAGAAAGGCGGGCTTAGAGAATTGGGTGAGCGTAGTTGAAATACCACCGAGTAATCTTAAGCGCCAGCTAGTTCGTAACCGCCTATATGACCGTCTATGTGCAACTCAAAATTGCATAATTTGCTCCAGTGGTAGAGACGGTGATTGCATAAGGTCGGGTATAGTTTATCTGATCTCCTGTAAGACGTGTGGTGACGAATACATTGGCGAAACGGGTAGATCCCTCTGTGTCCGCATGAAAGAACACCTAGCCGGTAAAAATAGACCAAATACCCCGCTAGGCACGCATAGGACCCAGAGACATAACGGAGACGACTTCGAAGTATGTGTCACGATCCTCGCACGCGAATCGAGAACACAGGCGCGAAAAACTCTCGAGGCACTCTGGATTAATTCCAGAAATCCGAAAATGAACCGCAGGGAAGAATGCCTCATTATCACGCGTGATATAGGGCAGTATATAAAACTGCTATTCTGATGGGAGGGGCACATTATACTTCCACGTGATTTCTGTGCGGTTTGTCTCTACGTGACATACTTAGTGGAAACCTCATAGAAAGCGGTGAGTGTGCAAAGCTGTGTTCAAAGTGATTGAAATCTTGGTGTGGAGTTTCTTTGTTTGGTTATGGAGGCGTCTGGCCGAGTGAGTTGCTATCAACTTGACCTTTCCAGGCTCTGAAGAAGGCGAAATCCGCCGAAACGTCAGCTTAATCGTGAACAAAGAATAGTAACACCTCGCGTTTGCTCAACAAAAATACGAAGAAAATCACTTGATCAATGCCGAGGTTAATAGAAAGTCGGTCGTGGCAGTCTATTCGAAGTGTTCTTAGCACCACCAAGAATTTCGTTGAGAGGACAAGAAGTGTGGTGTTTTGCTTAACTAAATCTTACATCGTTAAGCTGGTGAATCTTTAGCTCTAACTGGAAGATCTTTTTAGTGATTTGACCTTCGAACGGTGAAATCGTGTGAGCGTTTGTAATATCCGCTATAGTATAACTTCTTGGATTGAACAGTGTAATTTCAGGTACAGCTCATTCTGTACAAATAAATGAGGTTTCGCTATTCAAATTGTTCCATTTATTAGATTTTATTTTGGCAGACTGTATACCTAAGGTGAAGTACGTAAACTGGTCATGCTGAACTAATTCTTAAGAACGCTCGTGGTTCCTATAATGATCACAGCTGATCTCGTCTTCAGTGGAGGAAAAGTGGAGTACTATAAAAAACGTAGTACAACACGTGTATGGATTGAGGAACGAGGGAACGAAAGAAAGGATGGTTCTGTTGAAGCCCAGGCGTTCGGTGATGACAGAACTGATGAATTCATTTGTGCGGCTTAGCTCCAGTTCAATGTTTATATTTCATACGATAACACCCGATTCTGGTTTATAGGTAACTTTCCGTACCACTTTGCGGATCCCATCACCTCTTTGCATTTGATTCGCTTTCTGGTTTTCATCATCCACGAAGGTCTTCGAACTTTCCACGTGTGAGTTCAGCTGCTGCTTGAGGATTGTCGTCTTATTTATGAATGTCGTTGATTGCTGGTCGAGTCGATCGAGTCGGTTATTCCTGGAATGCTGAGATTGCTGGGCTAGAGCGTTCCCACTTGGATTGGAGGGAGCGAACAGTTCTCAGACAAGTATAGTACCACTTTCCCGACCCTAAAGCGAGAGACTTGGTGAACTGGAGCGGAATCGTATCAGTGTTGTGCTTATGATGTTCTAGGAGTATAAGTGGTCCTTCTAAGTTCTTTCGATTTTAGGTCTGTTGAAATTTAAATTTACAAAAGATGGAGGATTTAATATTTCTAAAATTGTTAAGATAAGCGCAGATGATGCAAGCAGCTGCGATACACTGGGGCACACAGGCATGTTCTGCGGACTTAGTTCCCTGTGTACGAAACACGACTATTGACACAAAAAAGCATTAGTGAAACGTCTTGTTGGTTCTGGATGATCAGAATTTCGTCATCTTGTAAAGGATAAAGCTGTCGGCGTTGATCTATCTATGAAAGATGTACCATGCATTTGACTTCACTAGGCATCGTTGGAGGTGTTTGAATGCATATCTCGCTCTTACAATGCCTCATGGTGGCCTACCGACGTATCGAGCCAGTGCCGCTATTCTCCCAGACAGGTCTAGTACCAGTTACCCGACCCCGCAGCGGGAATCGATCCTATGTGTATTGCAAAGCGCCTTCGACCACTGCGCCACACGTGCCCCTTGTCATCGTATAGCAAGAGGGATTGTTTCTTGTATGAGATTTTTAGATTCCAACATTTCTTATTTTAGTTACTAAAGTTCATCAGATGTGAAATAGTTGTTTATTCGTTTGAAGTAAGTAATTGTTGCGTATTAAGACCAACGAGCATCATCCATTGTGTTAGAGTTAGTATCAAAGTAAACGCAGTAAATGTGATTATTTTGTGCTATTTTAGCTTTGTTTAGGTGTCTGGTAGAAATGGTGCGGTTTTGATGGCAAAGATCAACGTTGATCAAGCTGGCGAACTAGCAATGGATTATGGTGTGACAGCAGTACCAACTGTGATGTCGTTCAAGAACGGGGAGCGTATAGGGATGTTCACTGGAGTCATAAGTGATGATGAGATTGACGATTTTCTCGACGACGCAGTCAATCACTAAAAAATAAAATTGTACAGATGACAGACAGATGACAGACAGACAAACAGACAGTACAGATGACAGTGCTATCCTGCAGATGTCCTGGAGCTTTGGGAAGGTATAACATGGTAGATACAACTTGTACAGAAGATCATAGCTTTATAAAATGTGGAGCTGAAAATTCTCAGAAGAAGAAAGTGAATAGTTACTATGTCTAATACAAGATGTGTTAGCAAGGGTAAAGGGCCAATTAGAAAATTTACACTCATAAGATTTATAGAAGTGTGCCTTTCTTGTGCGCCAGTGTAATAAATTCAGCGCTGTCACAGTCTAACATCCAGAAACATCTGCGTTGAGACGCTAAGGCTTTTTTGGATATGGGTCACAGAAGGCTCCTTGTTCCGAACACATAGATCGAACTTCTTGCTTTCTGATGTATTGTCCGGTGTTTTCATCGATAAGGGCAATATGTAGTCGCCGGTTTTTCACATCCAGTACACGTGCCACGGTGGACAATATGTAAGGGAATAGTTGTACCATCTACACTCGTTATGTTTTTTCATCATGAAAAGCTATTGGTGAAACCACCGCTACTTCACTTCGATTTCGTAATGCTGGTAAGCAAAATGGTGTTCGTAGTGTGTTAAGCGAATGCCATCCACAGTAATCAAGGAATTGAATTCGTGAAAAGAAAATATTCGAGGTGTGAAACTACTTTCTTCTCGCAGAGAAGAGAAAGCCAGTCTCCTCCTAGTTTCTTTAACTGTGGTGATAAATCAGCTGATGAGTACACGAATGGTGCGACCTGGCTCGTACGTAGCAGTCAATACGCGACTATTCCCTTCAGCTAGCAGTTTATCGTCCATTTGGCGACGACATTATCGGGGACGTCACATCGAGATCGGTCGTTCAGTTCAAGTTCGTTGACGGCAATCGATGTCCTTTGTCGGTTCTTTTTCTTGTTACTCAATGCCTCGGCGGCAGTCCAGGACGGACCTGCTCAACCCCCTCGCTTTGAGCGCGGTGCAGTCACCGCCGCCCCACTGCGTCGTCAACTCTCTTCCTTTGCGCTTTCCTGTCTGAAAAGTGTCCGTGGGAAACTGCCTGGAAGAGAATTTGCCTGCGTATTCAGAGGACAACGGACATCACTCACGATAATGAATATTCACTATCGCAGAAGCGGCAGAAACAGAAAGACATCTCCTGTCTGCCCTCGCTAACACGTGTGCTTTCATGCGCATCCAGCGCACAGGAATGCTCACAGACCTTACTAAATATTCATATCTTCTTTCTTCTTATACAGTTTTGTTATAAGTTTATCCAAATCATCATTGAATGGATTTTTGTTGCATAAGGGTCTACTACCTTTTTTTATTCTCTTCAAAACACTGCTTACTTGTTTGTCAAGCAAAGAACGTCGATGCCGCTGCTTTTCATTATTACAGAGGTTTGAGGAAACGTGAGCTTCTTTTGATATCTTTGAAAGTTCGCACAGTTTTCCTAGTCTTCGGCACCGTCAGTATGTGTTTTTATCGCAAGCTTCTTATTATGGATTTTTCGGATGGCTTTTATGTCACGAATTTGAAAGAAAGAGTAGGGGGAACGAACAATCTCAATGTTTAAAGTGAACTTCTTGTTTAGTCCTTCTCTCCTTTGGCAATACAACTCTAAACAGGTTGTGGTGAAAACACTGAAAGACTCCGCTTATAAATTTAATAAGAGTGTTCGAGTTTACAATTGAAGACTATTTCGGGAGACTAATACTGCCATGAAAGTACGATAGTAGTAGAACCAATATACCCGCTGCTTAAATGGAGAATTTCTGCACTTCTTGTGAATTTCTACGCGGGACATCTGTTGTTTCCACTGTGCTATCTCAAACTTCGGCATTTAAACGTTTACACAAGCAAGCTTGTACACCTGGCATCACCCATCTGTATATAGGTTGCACATTTATGAAGAATGTTGCTCAGGCTGTTGTGTCATACATACGTTATGAAAATATCTTAACATTCAATGATGCTAAGATATTTGCAAAACTTCGGACCGCAGGACCGCAGATATGTGCGGCGAGGAACGAACGCGCTATTGTCCGTTCTGGGGAGTAACGCGTTCACCACCACAGCATGCGGGTCCTTCGTTTCGCCTGTCTCTCAGCTAGTTCTATCGATCTTTGCCACAACAATCACCCGTCAGCGAGATTGATCCAGGGAGCCCAAATCGGCAAAGAACCCAGTTAAGCTGGGAATGTAGTTATAATCACAATTCTAACTTGTTATTTACTGCCTACTCTTTTTTAATGGCGGGGTATATTGCGAAATATAGCTTCAATGATGCTGAGATATTTGCAAAACTCCGAACCACAGGTGATAGAACTAGCTGATTGAGGCGATTCGAAGGACCCGCATGGTGTGGTGGTGAACGCGTTACTCATCGGAAAGGATAATAACGCGTTCGTTGCCCACCGCACATACCTGCGGTCCGGTGTTTTGCAAATATCTCAGGAATCTTGTGGTTGTATTTCCCTTAATACCCTGCCATAAAAATAAAAGAAGGCAGAAAATAAAAAGTAAACATTGTGAATTCAACTACAGCCTCAGCTTAACTGGGTTCAATGCCGATGTGGGCTCCCCGGATCAGTCCCGTTGACGGGTGATTGCTGGCATTAACATTGTTTAGAGCTGGTGCAAGCAATGTGCACCGTTAATCTATTTAGATTGACAAGGTTATTCATCTATGTAGGGTTGCCCTCCCAACGGTTTACCGCCTCGTCGTGGCTGGAATGTGTTCCTGAGTTTTGGACTGCGATGCAGAGCGGGGGATTCATCCCCTGGCAGTTTCCTAAGCTGAGAAGGAGTCCGGCGTTTCCATCAGGAAGCCTAGCTGAGGATAAACCAATATCAGGATCCACCACCGTTCTGGTATCAAAGTCGCGTGGTGGTAAATCTCCCTCTGATCCACAAGGGTTGTGACTGCCTGTGGTGGTGAAGACTTGGGGCATACTTTGGCCACGCTGACCTCGGGACTCCAGGGAACCATGATGGCTTAGCCAGGAAGTCTCCGAAAATTGGAGATTATGCTAAGGCACGCACAACCAATGAGGACGGGCCATTCAAGTATCAAGTATCAAGTAAAAGAGTTGCCTTGACAACCTATATACTGTTGAACATAGTGTAAAACTCCTCAGTTATTCTACATTAATATTCCTGCATATTGAAGAATGGGGCGATGACCCGACCCTTATTGGTCCACTGCTTTTTTGTTCGTCCTTGTCCATCGCATGTCTATTTCTAACTATATTCATACGTTTTCGTTGTTTTGTGACTTTTCAATTTCTATCGCTGTATGTTCTTTGTGAGCTTTTACGTGGCGCAAATCAATTCAGCTCTACAAGTGTAAGCAAACATTTCTGCTCTCATTGAGTGAAAAACGAATACTCGTTAAAATCTAAAGAACACTTCGAATAAGATGCAAGTTTTCCTACTCTATCAAGATAGAATTCTAGTTTTATGAAGCTCGCCGACGTATTCCCTCGCTTTCTTCTGTCCAAGCTTATATTTTGAAAATGGTAGCAGGATCTCGTCCAGCCGGAGATGATGGAGTTGTACTGCTGATGTTTTCTACTACGCCATTTGTTTCAGAAGTCAAAAGACTTCAATTTGTTTTGAATTCTTTGAAATTTTGGATTGTTAAAAATTAATACTCTAAATAGATCTCAAGATGGGATAAGCTCTAAGGTAAATTAGTATTTGAATAAAATTCAATATGGCAGCTCCATCAGAAGTGTTGAGGAGCATAGATGTCGTCCCACTTTAGTTCTACTAAAAAGCTGCTGGATTTCGTGTTATACTTTGTGTGGATATCCTTCCATTTAGAGCCGATGAAATGTACACCATACGAGCTGTATCGTGATAACTAGCATTGTTGATGGTCAGCCAGAGCGGCAAAGAGAGACTGTGTGATGTCGAACGCCTCGGGTTTTCCACTACTTCAATGCCTGGTATCAGAAGGAAGCCAGTCCAAACGCAGCGGGGCCTATAACACTGGGGTTTGCATTCTACAGACTCCGTACACATCTGATGTAAATCACAATCTATTTTTATTTGTTCACGTATCCACTCAATTTTTCCCATTCGCGAGATTGTCGCGCAGACAGGTCTTTATGGTTTCTTCAAAAGAAAAAAAAAGAAAGGAAAAAATTTTCTGGTGCACACTGTTCGAGCTTCCCACAAAACAAGGACTATAAGTAGCTGGAGCAATGAGATCCAATGACTTTTGCTGAGTCATGTCAAATCTCTAAACTTTTTACTCCACAGATTTGTCAGCACAGATATTTTTTCAAACGTTATTTACAGAAGAGCGTGTATAGCAAAGTGGTTAGAAGTCGAACCTATGACGCATCGCTGAGGCATTGATCAACGACAACAGCTTTATCCTTCATCCGTCTATATACGAAAATTCTCCACGGAAACCACTCCAATTGAAAAGGCGATCTAGTTGACGTGACGACTGTGGCTAGCCAAATAACGCTCAATGGTACCATGTCCAAGACCCTGCCGATGCTTGCAGTCGTGGAGCTGCTGTTCAGCGAATATTTGTACAGTGTTTTCTGGTGAGTTTACAAAGCACTGGACCGCATGTGGTGCGCATTTCCGGACATAGCATCCGTAACCGCTCACTCCGCTCTCCGTGGTATTACACTTGAGGCGCTCAATGTTGAGAGGTATCGGATCGATTGTATACATATCATAACGTCCTGTCCGTTCTGCGCTCATCGGTCGCTTACAAGTTTTACCACATCTCATCCTCTGTAACTAGAGCCAATATTTTCATCGAACAGTTCACATATCTCAGGTTTTGAACGCAAACATATGACTTAATGTTTCGACCTCCATCATACAGTGAAGTGATACAAGGGAATATTATAGGATATAGCGCTTACTGCTATTGAGAAGGACCTCGATATTTCCTTCATTACATTTGTCATTTGAAATCCTCTCTTTATTAAACGCTCAATCTTG